TATATATATATATAATAAAGTTAGTCAGAGATTCATAATGTGCCCTAATTGACACCCAACACCTAAAAAGAAGAATTCTTACCATAGATGAGTTTACATCAACGAACTTGAAAGCATCAACTGTAAATTGAATCTTATTCTGTTGGATCCTTGGAGTTAAGAAAGCAGAGCTTGAATCTTCTTGCTTGCCATCGATCAGACACCTTAATACCAAAAAGGTTTTAACTCAAGTGCATGGAAACCCTCTTTTCTCCACCCGGAGTGAGAACCGAGCAGAGATTTTACATAATTTCCATCATACTGGAGGAGACTTGCATTGTACAGCACTAAATCAAACAGGTCAGTACAAGGAAGCATAGACAATGGTTTATGTGTGGCACACTGAAAAAAATTTAATTTTATTGCAGAGCACAGTAGGCAACATTGACTCAAACAAGTTACCAGGGCTGGTTATATAGTTTTAGGTAAAAATGTATGTTTGAAATGCATAACTGCTAATGGCCAGACTTTCCTTAGACAATCAGACGTACCTGCAAGTGGCTTCTTAATGGCCACACATCTCATTTGTTTGAAAAGTTCTTATTAGTTTACACATCACAGTCCCAAGCCAAATTAAGACTGGGAGTACATTAACCCTTCTACAGAAATGTGTTTAGGATGCCCAGAGCGGCATCTACATGGTCCAGTGATGAAAGCCAGTTTTGGACCACCGCTGTCAACAGCATGATGTAATTATCCCACTTCAACCAGTACTTACCCATTGAAAGCAATGATTTCATAAGAAGGTCCTTGTGTAGCATCAGGCTGCAATGTGGCCACACATCGGTCTACAAGTATTCTCATGGGAATATGGTTGTCTGTGTCCACAGAGGCTTCTATATGTAGAGGTTCTCCCAGGTCAAAGACAATAGAAAGACTGGGACCAGTCCATTCATCTGCAAGAAAAAAAAAAAAAAAGCTATATAGTCAAAAACACTCCACACAAAAGCCAGTTTATTTTATTGCTAAAGGGTCTCTTCCTTCATTGCTGGACTCTGAACTCCTCCAATGCCCATGTAATACATTGTCTTGACTGTCTTAGGGGCCATATATTCAGCCTCTAAGGATAGTGTATGCTTCGGCCATCTTTTTTTTTTTTAAATAAAGCAAGACAATATACAACTAATCTCAGCATATTGATCCACTTCATTTATGGGCTATGATGCACATACAGTATGATCCATGAAGCACAGTATAACATTTTACCATACATGAAATGTGAATTATGAATATATTAAAGGGAAATGTCTCATTCTGATAGAACAAAGCAGTTACAGCCAGTCTTACTGTGGGGTGTCCCATTTGGGAAGAGTCACCCATCTATTGTACTCATGGCCATTATCAGAAAAGCCCAAACTTAGCATGGTCACCAAAGAGGCAAGGGTGAAATCTTCCAAGAGGACACCTATAACAGGGTCTTAACCCTAACTGAGACGTGTCTTTCAAATGTCAAGTCTCTAGAATGCATAAAGTGAAGTCTGCTAAAAGTAGTAACCTTACTCTATGGGTACAGAGACTTAACCCTACAGTACATGGATGGCCAAATTGCATACATGATTAAACCCTACATCTGCAAGTAGGGAGCATGTCCTTTAAAATCAGGATGTAGTTATTTCTTTTACACACAAAGATCATAAGACATGCTTAGAGGAAAGCTAGACCTGACCCAAGACATGCTTAGAGGAAAGCTAGACCTGACCCAATTTACTAAGTGAACATGTTGAGCGCACAGACTTTGGCTGTGATTCAAGGCAGAGGGGCAAAAGCAAAAAAAAAAAAAAAAAAAGCTATGGGTTAGCAGCAGTGGGCTATTAGGTGATAACAGTAAAAGTTTTTGTCCTGTCTGGTAAATATTATCCAGGCCAGTCAAATAATTTGATGTAATTCCAAAGATAGCAAGCTTATGGTCACCCATTTCTGAGAGGCTTGTTCCTGATCTATGGATACGTTTACCCTATGGCACAAAAAAAAAAAAACCATGGAACCTTGTTCAACTCACCATTCATTAAACGCATGGAAAAGTTTAGTTTCTGTACATAAGTTGCAGTAGAACGGAAAGGGAACCAGGTTGGATGTATGGCCTCACTGCTTACATTGTCATGCCTACAGAGAGACAAGTGAAACTCATGATCACCAAGCCCAGAAGTTAGAATCCTTCTCAAGCAAGTATGATAAACACAGCAGGATTTCTTTTCGGTGGCTCACCTGGGGTAATAACACTTGATAGGAATCACAGCAGAGTTGGTCCTGGTGATTGGCAGATTACTTGCAGGAGATGGGTTGTAGGTCAGAAAAGTGCTGTACATCAGCATGTCCACAGTCATCTGCAACACATCACAAAATCATTGCATTTGAAGTTAAAAAAAACAGGAATTCTGCCAGGAGAAATGCCATGTAGTCTCTGGAGAGCATGCAAGACAGGCAGCTGCAGGAGGTCAGCAGCCCTGAGATGCAACCTTTAGGCCCTTGGTTCTCAACTGGTGGGTCGTGACCCAAAAGTGGGTTGTGACCCCGTGTTCAGTGGGTCGCCGCATGCCTTCCACTTTTCTAGGCGAGAGGCTCCTCAGCTTCCCCCTAGCGCAGCACCGTCAGTTCTCGCACCGAGCAACAATTCAAAATATGCTGCCCGGTGCCAAGTGTCAGCTTGAGGTGGGCTGGGGGGGTATGGCTACGAGGGAGCACCATACATACGTGCATTGCTTACAGCTCTCTCACGTGTCTTATGAAGGTGCCTGAACCAGAGTGACATCATATTCTGGCTCTCGGCACCTCTAAAGGGCACGCAAGGGAGCTCTACAAGCCATGCACATATGGATGGAGCTCCATTACAGCACAGCAGTCCACACTGGACCCCAGGCTGAGGATCCACTCCAGTTCTAGTGCATTCCATTGCAGTGCGACCAGGGTCGCGACTGAATGACCAAGGACACATGTGGGTCCTGAGATTAGAGGTTGAGAATCACTGCTTTAGGCAGCGATTTGAAAAAGATTTCCAAAGCCATGCAAGTGCTCATTATACACAGGCTGTAGTCTGAGCCTATTAAGAAACATACATGGAAGCTCCAGTCGCTGAATTGTTTTAGAGACAGGCACTTCAAGGCCAAGCCATCTTTCCAGACCCGACTTTCCAATATTATCACCCAGAAAGATGCAGGACAGGACTTTAAAATGTACTGGATGCATGCTAGTTCTGACTTGCTATGGAGCAAAGCAGTGCAGTGACAAAAGC